AGGTATTTGCACAAAAGAGAAAGCACTTTATTCGAAACAAACCTCACTAGCCCGCATACAGTCGCAACCTAACAACATCAATGTCAAGTTGGAGCAAATTGATCCTACGCCTACCACAGGGATGGATCAAAAACCTGCATCCATTCTGCTCATTAACCGACTGCCTTCCATAGTACTAGTAAGGCGATTAGTGCCAAATACGTACTTAACAGTCTCAAGAGTTTAAAATTAGGGAATGATGTAGTCGTAAATACATGCGAAAGGGAGAGGGAGCGAATCCTGTTCCCGCCACACATATATGACTAATTATTAGCTTAGTTGGTTCCGTAACTGGGTCTTAACTACCAAGTGGTCAACAATTCAAAACAGAAATCTGTTTCCAAACAAAATCTCTCCATCTCAAATTACTGAGGAGTCATCCTGTCATACCATTTTCGGCAGCGAATGAAGGTCCAATACCGAAGACCATCACAGTTCAGCCAATTTAATCGTCATGACTCGAAGAATCCTCTTCGGACTCTATGCAAGTTAGGACATCGGCTGTTCTGTGTGTTGTGCTTTCCACGTTGCCACAAGTTGTCTCATCGGAAAAGAAACAGATTGTTTGTGCTTCAGTGAGATGTTTCACTTTGTTCAGAAGTTTCTTCCCCTCTCTGTCAGACGACGATTGTCGCCATTTTTCTGTGAGAGGTTGGCCTCTGAGATAATTGTGCATTTGGTTCTTGGGATAGGAAGAACCGACGCCACCCACTTAGGAGTTAAGCCCAACAAGTAGAAGTTAGCAGTACACAATCACTATCGCAAACCAAGCAGACCACTAATAGTTGTGTTCCGATTAATGTCTATAGATGAACAGTAGGAAATATTTGAGCAGAGTCAGAGAGGTAGAGGGATGAGAGAGAGGGAGAGAGATAGAAGCGAACGATAAAACAACTGGCAAACATGTGTTGTGTGTGTATGTTTGGGAAGATGCAGTCACTCTCTTAGACTTACTTGTTGACAGACGTACTTTTATAGGAAGAGAGGCAGTTAAAGAAAAATAAGATTCGATGACTTCGTCCGGGCAAAGAAGAGTCATAAGAATAAGAAGAAATTACAGTAGCTTTATGGTAAATGGGTAGAGACGTGGTTATAGCCTATAGAATAGAATGTTGTCCACTTTAGGTCGTCTGTCATAAGTTGCTTTCTTCCTGACACAAAAACTGAGCAGTCTCCTTTGTAATTCTCCAGTTCCTGCTATACTGTTTCACACAATGTTGATGGAGCAATGAGAAGCATACTTTCCTCATTTCGAAGGCCGATGTTAATTATTATATAACAAATTAACCTCCGGCATGATTCAGGTGGGTTCCCGTCATAATCCATTCGCGCTGTCATCTTGTACATGAATAAAGAAGGTTCAGCACACTTAAGGGAGGTGTAGTGTACACAAATGCGCTTAACGCATTTAAGGAAAAAAGACATTTATTTGGAAAATTTGTCCTCAACATAAAATTGCCACGCCGGCAGTCATCATATTCACTGATATTTAACTAAACGTACACATTCTGCATTTGACAGTCAGTCTAGACAGGGAAGAGTAAATTAAATTATAATCCATACGGCGGTAGTCTGAATTTCATAACAATAAGTAAATATTGCAAAGCTAATTATTCCCCCTAAGTCAGCCGTTTTATTCCTGTGCCAACAGAGATTGAAAATTGTTCCAAACTTATGAAGTGTTTGTGAATATTTGAGCCATCCTCACTTAGCAAACAAGAAGAACTTGCTAAACCTGACTACAAGAAACGTTTCAAGACGGGAAGTGCAAAAACTCGAATTTCAGGTTTTTGAAAAGAAAAGTTAAAATTTGAGGGGCTTAAGGAACAGTAATGAAAAGCTCGTCGATCAAGAAAGCAAAAAAACAAAACAGAAACATGGTACGGAAGGGAGAAACTGATTGTAAGTTGTCGAAACTTTTAAAAATAAGACAAAAGTTCGACCTGCGTAAAGCTGAACGAAAAAATAACATGCGGAAAGTCTTTTCTTAACGAAGAGAAAAAAATCATTAGTCACTTCGGAAAACCGAATAATTTCAAAATTAGATGGCATTATTTTCTGGAACAGGGTGTGTGCGATAGCCTTACCTCCACGTGGTGCACCCTGGGCAACGTATACTCATTCGGCTACCTCCACGTGGTGCACCCTGGGCAATGTATACTCATACACCTCCACGTGGTGCACCCTGGGCAACGTATACTCACGATAGACTTACCTCCAGGTGGTGCACCCTGGACAACGTATACTCAAACGGCACGTGGTGCACCCTGGGCAACGTATACTCATACGGCTCCACGTGGTGCACCCTGGGCAACGTTTACTCATACGGCTCCACGTGGTGCACCCTGGGCAACGTATACTCATAAGGCACCACGTGGTGCACCCTGGGCAACGTGTACTCATACGGCAAGTAAGTCTATCACGTGGTGCACCCTGGGCAACGTATACTCATACGGCAAACAAACTGGTGCACCCTGGGCAACGTATACACGGCAAAAGAGTCCGTGGTGCACCCTGGGCAACGTACACTCACACCTTACCTCCACGTGGTGCACCCTGGGCAACGTATTCTCATTCGGCTACCTCCACGTGGTGCACCCTGGGCAATGTATACTCATACACCTCCACGTGGTGCACCCTGGGCAACGTATACTCACGATAGACTTACCTCCAGGTGGTGCACCCTGGACAACGTATACTCAAACGGCACGTGGTGCACCCTGGGCAACGTATACTCATACGGCTCCACGTGGTGCACCCTGGGCAACGTTTACTCATACGGCTCCACGTGGTGCACCCTGGGCAACGTATACTCATAAGGCACCACGTGGTGCACCCTGGGCAACGTGTACTCATACGGCAAGTAAGTCTATCACGTGGTGCACCCTGGGCAACGTATACTCATACGGCAAACAAACTGGTGCACCCTGGGCAACGTATACACGGCAAAAGAGTCCCCCTGGGCAACGTATACTCATAAGGCAAAAAGTCTATTAATCCCTGACTTCAAACTACCATGGCCCGACTGCTTGCCATATTCGAATAATTCCACAGTATTCACCTCACCTTTTTCTACCTTTGTGTCTGTCTATCTATCTCTTTTACGTCTGTGAATCATTATTCTGCCCCCCTCTCGGCTTTTTACCACTTGGATGTTTATCTTCCTTTCTGTGAAACCTGAAGTCAACTAAAGGGCTAATGATACCTATCATAACGCCTGCCATTTGAAATAAATAAATTTTCTGGAACAGTTAAGTACAAGAGAGGGAAGTGATTGTATAAGGGTGAAGTGGGATCAGATTGTTTGATTAAAATGCATTAAATCATAGAAACTTATTCTAAATCTTAAATGATCGTCTATAACAAATAAACCTTGCTTAAAACAGGAATTCTCAAACGACTCCTCATTTATAAATGTACCTATTCGAAAATAAGAAACTCCGAAATTCTCTGATACCCAATGTTGAGCCCGTGGCGTCTGGAGAAAGAGGTAACTAAAATATGAGAAGCTTTATGCAAATTCACTAGGACCCAACACATCGACGCCTCTCAGTTTTCCGTGCACATATAAAGGAAAATGGTAATATGAGAATAAACGATTGAATATGCTCAAGTAAAAATCTTAGAAGTCAGTTAGATGTGAAAGAAGCAATATATAAAGGCTACGTAATAGGATACTGAGGACTCCAAAATGGGTATAAGATCCTGAATTATAAGAGAATAAAAGTGGAAAACCGATTTAATAAAAAAGACTAATTCAGAAAGTGCCAAAAGAGATTATTACAAGTTAATAACACTAGGGGTGGTGGAAAGGGTGACATGGAGGGTAGACAGTGTGTTAGAGATCTGGTCTGAATAGTTTCGGTATTCGAACTTAGTGACTTGTGACTGAAGATGAAACATACCCCATTGTTAAGCCACTAGCTGTCCAAATAGTTAATCAGTCTCATACATCTGAACTATATATAAATAGTACCACCTTCATAGTAATAATTAGCCTAACGTTAAAACAATCGATCGACTGGGGCCTAAGCGGAAGTAATCTCAAAATATCGCCAAGAAAGCCAGCGATACCATAGCGGTGGCTTAAACAGCATTAATAGCAAGAACCCTTGACATTGATTATAAATAAACCAACAATATTCCCCATAAATGAAGATGTATTGTCATTAGTCAAAGTCAGTATACATTTGTCAGGAGGAAATAGAAACGCTAAAAGCTAGTTGCCCTCTTTCTAGATCGACTAAAGTTAAGGCAAAAAATTTTAACTGTCCAGCTTAGTTCTGTGTTGACTAACTAGGCAAACACATAAGCCATTCCAGAGCAAACGCAATCACCCATTCTGCATCTATTGGGAGAAACAATTTGTATAAATCCTTTGCATACCAAACCAGCAACTATTCAACTATTCTAAAATATTGGGTCAAAACTATTTCGCAGTGAATGACATTACCACCACATACGTCGAAATGCAAGTAGAAACTAGATTTATCCAAATTTACAAGCACACACACACACACACACACACACACACACAAACAAGACAACGCTAAAAACTTAAGCAAATAACAACCGTCCGGCCTTGATTTAATTAATAGAAATATGTGTTCCGAACACAAAACTAATACCTCGAAATAAGTGGACAATGAAATAGGAATATCGCAAATGCAACCCTATTCAACAATATGGAAATTGAATTGAGAAGTTTAAGCCTTGGTACACAATGGTATGATGCAGAGCACAATAAGTCACGGACTTAAGAATACGACCCGATGGATCTAGATTTCAAATAGGCAGGAATCTATTCGTAACTAATCGTTATTTCTTCAGCCCCTAGTTGACACTTGAATTGGCCATAGCGTTATGATGCGTATTATGAAGAGATGAGTAATAATGATGTTAATCATTATATGAGTTCTTTGAAGATAAAAAATAAGGAACTCACCAGCAGAATGCATAATAGGCGAAGTAGGAGTTGATTCTGAATTGGTCACCTGTGGAGCGATGAGTTTGCGTAGGACTTCCAGTTCCACATTCGGCCCAGCCCCGGTTAGAAGAGTTATCACTTGATCGTGTCGTGCATTT